GAGGCATACGGGCCAGGAAAAGACGATGGCAGAATAGGGACTATGAAAGAACAGTAAGAAAGAAGAAGGAGTCACAAAAGTTGATATACCTACCTTCCTGCGAATCAACTAAAAATCCACGGCAAACATTTAGGAAATGGAATATTCGGGTGGCCATGAAAAAAATATCAACACTTTTTACTGGTCTTTTGACGCAACATGAAAGGGTGGATAAATTTGATTGTTCAGGAGTTTACTGTATATCATGCGGCGCCTATGAACAGAAATATATTTACGAAACAGAGAAAAACAATTAGTATACGAATGAAGGAACAACAAATTCTCTGCAGGAAAATGGATACCAAATGATCAGAATTGGCAGAACACATCGCACAGACTGGACACGAGATCAATTTGAAGGCAACAGAAAGAAGGGCCTCATCTGGTGATAACACAAGGAATTGGAAGATTAGGAAGGCCGTTGACATTCTTGGGGAGAAAATTATAGTAAACAGGAGTTTCGAGGAAGGTAGAGTAAGCGACAACTTTGCCTGCTGCTCAGGTCAACTCGGGAAAATCAAGAATACAAAATAAGACGCCTGGATAATCGCTAATTGGAGGAAAAGGAATCATGATGAGAAAGAGGAGGCGAGGATTTTCAGTAATCAAGCGAAGACGTTGTCAATGAGTGATGTCTCTTCTAAGAAACCTGTACAAATTTGGGGCCTGGCAGTCAGGGATCTAGGCAGACGGATAAGCATACAATCACAGAATTTCGGCATCAGGGTCAAAATGTACTAGAAATCGACTCAAGATGTAGCAGATGACCAGGGATAGGCGTCAACATTTTGCTCGGGTAACACGGGTTTAATCGTGATGGGAATGCCTGATATCTGAAAGCATGGCAATCAGAGCCAAGGCGCTCTGCTCGGTGGGGCGGTAGTGTACGTGGTTCTATTGCCTTAAGAAATAGCGCACTGGAAGTGGAACCGAGTTAAACCATTCAATCAGAAAGCTAAGGAACGGATCTTCGGAACCATAAGGAAGATCCGGATAGGAGGCCCGAGTCGGATTAGCCGATCGAAAGAGTGGGGAATGGAATGTAAACAAGTTGGAAGTTGTGATAGGATGGGAGTTTTGTAAGAGGGTCAAGAGTAGATAGATGGGCTAGGACAGAAAGAGAAGAGATAGTGTAACCGTTTTCTGGCCGAGTGATTGACTTCACTTGTCTCTTTGACGAGTTCGCAGCTTGGTACAGAGAATGACAGGACTCACTGATGATGCCGACTACGATGCCGGCGAAATGTCTGAGAATGTACCAAGTCCGATTTTGGGAATTATGCTAACTACTATGGCAGAGGACTTCGGACAAGGTGCGTTCTACTAAGTCCTCTGAAAACAAGACAAATTGCGACGGGGTCAAGCCTTTTCTATAAATCGAAAGGAGACTGCGACCATTCTTGTGGCCACACCATCTTGTTTTTCATCTCTTAGATTAAACTTCAGTAGTAAAATTGCCAGACAAAACACTGAATATAGCCGGATAAAGATGACGATTGTAAGTTAATCTTGCTATCTGACATTTTCAAATTGTTGTACATGTTATGATATCACTCCTAATTTGGGTGACCTTAGAAGACTCTACCATTCAGATCCGGTTAATGAATCTCTCCACCAGGCTTCTATTTTGAAACTAAGTGAAACTTATGATACG